TTCCTTCACCCCTTTTAACTTGATTACTAGGAAGGTCTTGAGGTGCTACTTAACTAGGTAAATGCACCAATTCAAACTTATTCCGCACCTCTTCTGAGATCTCTTTGTATTTCTTTTCCAATTTCATGTTCTTGTGTAGCAGTTCAATTTTCTCTGCATATTTCTGTTTCTATCGTCCTTCCCAGTAGTCAGCCAATTTCTTTTGAAATTTTACTTCCATTCGAAGGATGTCTATTTCCTTATGCATATCTCCCAAATTTATTATATTACCGATTCTCTTAAGGTCAAATGATAGCCTGTCAAGAAAATCAAAGGATTGAAATAAGTAACTAATCACACTTGGAAACTGTAGCCATATAACTTTTCCATCCTTTTGCTTACAGGTCACCCAAGAAACATAAATCCTAACTATTTCCTGTCGAGGTAAATAAGAAATCTAAACACAAGTACTTACTCTTATTTTTGGGGTCTCCCCATAAAGATTACTATCATCGCTTATACATATAACAAGATATGGAATCATACTCCTTAAAATAGATGTTCAGGGCCCTAACTCACTTTCCATTATACACTCACTTTTAAATTCGTTCAAGAAGAAATTATAACTTCTTAGTCTCACTAGTGCCTAGTACCATCCTCTATCAAGACGTTCATCCTAATTCTATCAAAATTCATATATAAGAATAGAACATATATCCTTCATTTGACAATGCTAATACAAGTGCTTTAGTCAAACACTTCTTCCAACCAAAACTCGTACTTATTGAACTTAGCAAAAAGTTGGTGCTCTCTCAAGGTTTGCAAGACTATTCTCAGGTGTCTTTCATGATCTTCTTGAGACTTAGAGTACACAAATATGTCGTCTCTGAATACCACCACAAATTGATCCAGATACGACTTAAAGACCCGGTGCCTCAAGTCTATAAATGCTGCTGGCACATTAGTTAACCCAAAAGGCATAATTGCAAATTCAAAGTGTCCATATCTCGAATTGAAAGCTGTCTTAGACACATTCGCTTCTAAGATCCTCACTGGTAATAGCTCTGCCTCAAATTCAACTTGAAAAATACCTCGGCCTCTTGCAGTTGATCAAATAACTCATCTATGTGAGGTAAAGAGTATTTGTTCTTAATTGTCACATCGTTCAAGCCTCAGTAGTCTATGCATAGATTCAAACTTCTATCTTTCTTCTTAACAAAGAGTACTGGAATTCCTCACGGTGAATCACTTTTTCTAATAATGTCTCTTTCTAATAAATCTTGCAACTGTAAATTTAACTTTTTTAATTCAACTGGAGCCATCCTATAAGGCGTCTTAGAGATAGGTGCTGTCCTGGAGTTACATTACTCTTAAATACTATTTCTCCCTTTGGAGGTAGAGTCTCTAATTTTTTGGAGCAAAAATCGAAAAATTCCTTCACTACTGGCACGTTTTTCAATTTCACATTATCCCCAAGTGTATTTATAAGAAAGACTAGATATCCTTTAACCCCAGTACTCAATAATTTTCTAACTCGAATCTCTGAAATTAGAGTAGACGATGCTAGTCTACCCCTCATATCTAACTTCAAAATTGCTTCCCTCGGAATACGCAATTCTATTAATTTCATCTTATAATCTAATTGAGCATGGTATTGATCTAATCGATCCATCTCAAGTATTACATCATATTCCTTAATTACTAGACTCACTAAGTCTGCCAACAATTTCGTCTCAGCAACCCAAATCTCACCATTTCTATATACCTTGTTAGCAATTAAGCACTAGTTCTCCGTAGGAGTCTTAACTTTCAAGTCAAAAGATAAGAAATCACACTTTAGATTTACAACCCTAACTAGATGCTCAAGGATATCAGTTATGCGATTAAGGGCCGTAGCCACTTGGTCATTCCTCTCAATCCTAGAATTTTGGTTCGGACCAGTCTTTGATCTCTCATCTCTCTCGAGAGTGTGGGGTTGCTGAAACCCATACCCACGACCCCGTTCACGTCCTCGCTGATGCATTTAGTAAAAGTATAAACGTATAATTAAAAGAGAAAAAATAAGCATAAAAATTTAAAAGCATATGCAAGTTGCAAGAATACTTGAAATTAAAACATAATTCTTTGCATATATTAAAAGTCATGCTACAAATCAAGAGTTCACAAAACAAGTTAATAAGATCAAGTACAGGACATAGGCATCCAAGTGCCACAAAATATAGGGGTACATGCAATAAAATACAAAAGGCCGCAAGGCGAGGATCACCCTTTCTAAATCCTTAGCAAAACTCAAAAGATCAGAAGGTCACTAGTATAAGTGGACTGTACTAGTAGACCCCACATCCTCAAAAGGATCCTTCTCCACGGGTCCATCTCCACCTCATCACTAGGGGCAACATCCCCTGGTCCACCTCCACTCATGGTCTCCTCGATGCGATCGGCCATGGTCGTACACTCCACCATAATGCCATCCACACGGTTCCTTACCTCCTCGACAATCCGAATGAGGTGCCCATCGGTCGTCTGAAATTGAGCATGGGAGGTGTTAGCCCTCTAACGCTCTTCAAAAACTCTAGCCTCCAACTCCTGAATCCTGACAGTCTGGGCCTCCATAGTGGCCCTCATCTCTTCTCTCTCAGCTCGTGTTACCCTGAGGTCATGGGTCAACTGTCTCCTCTCCTCAATTACCCCTAACACCACGTGGTTAGGGTAGGAGAACCTATCTTGGTACGGGCACGTCCTAACCCGCTTGGCGGATGACCACCGAAGGGGGGTCCGCCTCCGACCATACAATATCGGATCACTCGAAGAGATCCCTCGATCCTATCACCATCATTGCCACTGTCCATATCCTACAAACAACCTACAAGGCTCAAGGTTAAATCCTTAAAATCACCGGTGCCACTCAAAAATTTAACTTAAGATTATCACAAATTTCTATGATCGACAGTTCATGACTAAAAATTCCTAACATTATTCCAGGTATTTCAAACTTAGCGCTCTGATACCAACTATGACGCCCCCACATCTCCCTAGGACGAACCCTAGGGTATCAGCGTAACGCCTGCCCAACTCTCATCAGGACTCATGCACTCATTCAAGTTTAATAACGATCCACAAGTCAATCATAGGCTTAGAATTAAAAAAATATTGCAAATGTATAATCCAAATTCTTCTAGGACTACTATTTACAATTACAATCCAAAATTTTCAAATATAACAAAATTTATAATTCAAATGTCTCCAATAACCTACAAAAGGTTCACTAGTTTCAACCAAAAATAGTAGTCTAGAGTTCCCCACTTTCACTTCTAAAATCTATTAAGAAAAACAAACTTAAAGGAACGAACTAATACTCAGTGAGGCCAAGAAAGTCAAGCAAGCAAGCAAGTAGCACAAATTAAATTAAATATCACTCTTAAAAATGATCAATATGAAATTTCATTTATATGCACAAATAGGAAGTAAAACACATGTAAAAGGATACAGGAACTCTCAAGAGTTATTTTCACGTTTGGACCGGTTCAAACCATCTTTGGTTGACCCTCCGTCAACTCAAGTAACAACATGTCCGTAGAGTGCCACTTACTTCCTCCATCCATTATAACACCTTCTCGGATCCGGAACTAAACAAGCACAAGATGACAATACTACTCGAATATACCAAGCAAGATCTCAAAAGATTAAACTTTTTAATTTTTCATAGTTCACCAAACTTCTTGACCAAGTCCTTACCGGCTCGAGTTACGAGGTTAGCCAATGGGTTTAGATGTCCTCACAAGCTTGAGTGGTCGATGAGACAACGCTCCAATCAACTTAAAATCGGTCATAGTACTGAGTCGGTATGAGAGGCACCTCCCACCTGAATAGAGTGTGGTACATGCTGCCGCTCATTACTCACGAGTTACAAGCATGTTTGAGTACAAGTGCAAGTCACGCCATATACAAGTAATGAGTATGTAAAAAGGAGGGGACAAGGGCGATAAAATACACTCTCGCCTCGGCAAGTTCACAAATCATAACAATTTCACATAACACTTGTACAAATATTATTTCAATCATAGTACATGAAACATCACTAAAAAAATTATTTCTTTCGTGACAACTAACCTATTCGTTAGAAAAACCATGCCTTTTTATGATAACCCGTCAAGCAAATGTCCTTAAAAAGGGCTGCTATTTTAAACGTGTTTTTTTATTTATTTCATTGTCTAAAGTTACTTTTCCCATGTCAATTCGTCAGGAAAAGTTTTCATTCTCCCTCCATTTTTTTCCCACCAGATTTTTTCCCCTTTTGGACAGAAAAGGAATTTAGGAGGACATCTTGTCCTTATGACATAGACACCGGGAAACAAGAAGCACTTTTCCCATTTTCATTACCTTTGGAACAACAACAACAAAGTAACACTTTCTCCAAATCTGTAGTTTGTCTTCATCTCCAACAACAAAGAACAACAACTGAACTTGTCTTCATCTCTTTCAACAAGAGAGACAACACGATGGTCTAAGGTGATGTAAAAATCAAATAATCCTTCAATTTTGTCTTGAATCAGCTCCCTTTCTCCAAATCCCCCTTCAATTTTGTCCTTAATTGGTTCTATTTTTATTTTTATAGTGGGTATTTTATTCATTTCTCCCTTTCTCTGTTCGTCAAAACCCAGGATAGGTTTTTGTTCCTTTTTTTTTTGTAGTTATAATGTTGTTTTCTGGTACAATAGCTGCAAGTCTTTTTGTAAGTTTTGTTACTTTGCTATTTAACAGAAAAGTTACAATTTTTAGTTTACCCGTTTGATGAAAGATTTTTTTTTTTAAAGAGAAAAGAACTTTCTTGATTTGAATTAATAGGAGCAAGTACCAAGTTCTTTGAGTAAAGATTCTATCGTGAGATACAGAAGAATGTGTAGCTTGACTAGTATTTAAGAAACAACTGAAATTGATTGTTGATGCAAGGCTAACATGGCTTGAGCAATTGCATCATCCTCATTGATCGAGTCAGCATTGTGTTGGCCCATCCTTTCCTATCACTTCTTTCCCTTACAAGGTGGCAAGGGCCTGCCACATAAACACAGATTATGAGCATAAGTTACTGGAGGAAAGATGTTCAATGGTCTTTCTTGTGGGATCTCACTGCATAATCTGTTGGCCCTAAAGCTTGCGTGTCTCAGCACTTCAATATGTAGCAAGCTGTCAGGGATTTTCCCGGAAAGTGTGTTGATGGACAAATTCAACCACTGCAACTTGAGCAACAATCCTAAACTGGTTGGGATTGTGCCTCCTATTTGGTTCCTTGAAATGTCCAATCGTTCAACCTTAGCAAGGTTGGAGATTGAATTGGGAATGTAACCTGTAAGTTTGTTGCTTGCTATGTTGAGCACTTTCAGGTTCAAGCTAGTGCTGAATTCAGGAATGGTACCTGAAATTTGATTGTTTGAAATATCAACTACCTCCAGAAACTTGCTTGTCTTGTTGCTTAGAATACTTGATAGAGAACCGTAGAGTTGGTTTGAATGGAGGTCAATTCATGAAAATCCATCTGGCAATTTGATTGCAGATACATCAGACTTCCGTTGGTTGTTTGAAAGCTTGGCCTGTTCCAAGGTTGTCATCCTTGTGAAAAAATTTGAAATACCTTCAGTGAAATAGTTATCTGACAGGTCCAAAGAGCTTAATGAATCAGGGGTTGTGAAATTTGGGAGAGTCCCTCGAAGCTTGCAGCCAGCTAAATAAATGTTGGAAAGTTCCCAGCTTCTCATATCCTATGTTCTAACACCGTGGGTAGACTAATTAGCAATTTACAAACTTGTTGAATTTCTTTTCTTTTGTTTCTTTACATTCTTTTCTGGTTTAGTTAGCTCTCATAATTGTCATTATGGGTTGCAATTTCAATCAACATGTGAATGGCCTTTATGTCAAAGAATAATGTGTATATTTTATCTTGTACCATCTTTTGCTCCTTTCACGATTTTAGTTATATACATTGCCAATCTTTACTCCATAAGTTGATGTGTGTTTTGCCATCCCCCTCCCTCGTCTTTTTTTGTCTAGAAAGGGATTGGTTCGAATAGAAGATCAATGGGATAGTTACAATTCTAATCAGGCTTTAGGAAGGTAATTTTGTTTTTTTGTTATGTTACTAAAAAAGTTTTTGATTGTTGTCGGTTATGTATGATGATTTTCTTAAAATATCTAATTTCACATTTCTTCACATTCAGCTGAGCAGACCTGCATACTCACTACTTTGATAGAGAAGAAAGGGTACAACCTGAGAAAAGATTGCATAATTTGAGGTATGTGGTTATTTGGTAGCTTACCATAAAGAATGAAAAGTGTTTATCATGACTGCTAGTTTCGGGCAAATTATGTTTTGGTTTAAATCCTTATTTGTGTAAATCATGTTATGGGTTATGATGTCTAATGTTTTCTTATGTACTATACAAGAGCATATACAATTAAACAATAGGAGAATAGTACAATCAGGAATGTGTATTTAGTTTTATTGAGTAGTATACCATTTGGTGTAATCAGTGAATAATCTAATGTGTTTTCAGTTTTATTGAGTAGTATAGCATTTGATGTATTCAGTGAGTAATCTAAGTAGCTTGGAATTCATAGCTAAGCCGTAAAAAGTAGGTGAATTATGAATAATTCGATGTCTTTTTGCCTCCTTTATCTTTTTATAGCTAGAAATTGTCTTTCCTCCTTTTTGAGTTATTCATTTTGACAATGCCTTGTGCTTAGTAAGTTAAGACTTTTCTTATTCTAGGTATCGGAAATAGATAAGAGCTGGATAAATGATCCAAATATTTTGTCAAGTCATTATAAGTCTGGTCTTAAGGATTTTATTGAATTTGCTAAGACCAATGGTATGGGATTGGATGGAAAATTATTTTGTCCCTGTAAGAGATGTAGGAATTCAAAGAGAAAAAGCATTTCTCAAGTTGAATCAGATTTGTCAAAAAAAGGCTTTTGTATGTATTATAAAAATTGGGTCTTCCATGGGGAACCATTTTCTGCACACTCTTATATGTCAAGTGGAAAGAACAATAACCTTGATGAGGATGGTGTTGGAGGTGAGACAGATTTCATCAATGAAACAGTATATAACGACTTTGATATGAATGAAAATGGTGAATCTGATGAGTTACCTGATTTATTGGATGAGATAAGAAATGCACATGAATCAGGGACATCGAGTGAATGGGATTCAAAAAATTTTGATAAATTGTTAAATGATGCACAAAGAGAATTATACTCGGGATGCAAAAAATACTCCCTGCTGCATTTCATTGTTTCCTTTCTCCATATCAAAGTGATGAACCATGTGACTAACAAGGCATTTGACATGATGCTAGAATTTTTAAAAGATGTGTTACCAGAAGGAGAAATACTTCCATCTAGTTTTTATGGGGCCATGAAAATTTATCTGGTATAGGTTTGGGGTATCAAAAAATTGATGTCTGCAAATTTGATTGTGCATTGTTTTGGAAAGAAAATGAAAAGATGGACAAGTGCCCTATTTGTAAAGAATCACGATGGAAAGTCAATAATGGCAAGAAAAAAAAGTTCCACAGAAGGTGATGTGGTACTTTCCATTAAAAGCTAGGTTGCAAAGACTTTTTATGTCTTCTAAAACTGCTGAAGACATGAGATGGCATGAGGAGAAACGGGTTAAAGAGGAAGGTATCATGAGAGATCCGGCTGATTCTATTGCTTGGAAGGATTTTGATAAGCAATATCCTAATTTTGCTAAAGATTCCCGAAATGTAAGACTTGGATTGGCCACGGACGGATTCAATCCATTTGGTAACATGAGCAACTCATATAGCATGTGGCCAGTTATTCTTGTACCTTACAATTTGCCTGCATATAAGTTTATGAGAAAGGAATTTCTTATACTATCACTTCTTATTCCTAGTCCACATGCCCCTGGAAAAGAGTTAGATGTGTTCTTAAGGCCAGCAATAAATGATTTGAAAGATTTATTTCATGGAATCAGCACTTATGATGCATATAGTGGACAAAACTTTCAAATGCGTGCAGCAATTTTATGGACTATATCAGATTTCCCTGCATATGGCTATTTGTCTGGATGGAGCACCAGTGGGTATAAAGCATGTCCATGTTGTCTTGATGATACTGTTTTACAAAGACTAAGAGGCAAAATATGTTTCATGGGACATCGTCGCCTTTTGAACCATGACCACTGTTGGCGAAAGCTAAAAGCTCATTTTGATGGAACTATTGAAACGCGCTCCAAGCCAAAGGAATTTTCTGGAGAACAGGTTTTAAGACATTTAAATTCCTTGGCTGGTGTCTTTGGTGAGTTTGGTAAGAACCCAGTTACTCGGAAAAAAGGAGTTGATAAAATTCAGGGTAATTGGAGGAAAAAAAGTACTCCCTCCGTCCCATTGTTAATGTCATATTTCCACTTTTTGCTTGTCCCAAAATTTGAGTCACTTTGAAAAAGTCAAATCACTTTTACAATTATTTTCCAGTTATACCCTTCTATTGACAAGTCAAGATTGCACTAACCAATTCTGATGGACCCAACCACAACACATCATCGGAAGTTATACCCTTCTGATTGTCTTTGCCTTTTAGTCAAAGTGACTTAATGGCAAGTGGTCCCACCAATTTGTTGTTTCACTCCACAAACAGCAAAGGGTACGCTTGGAAGAGTCAGATAAGCCTGTCCCGTAATGCTACTGTACATAAAAAGTGCGTTTCCCAAAAAGCGTCCCAAATTTTGGGACGGAGGGAGTATATTTTTTGAGTTACCATATTGGGAAAAACTCTCCATGAGACATTGTCTGGATGTGATGCATATCCTTAAAAATACATGTGAAAGTTTAGTAGCAACATTGCTGAACATTCCTGATAAGACAAAAGGTACTAATAAAGCTCGTGATGATCTACTTGACATGGGAATAATGCACGAACTACACTTACATGATGATGGTACAAGGAAAACAAAGCCTCCAGCCTTGTATGTGATGTCTTCAAGTGAGAGAAAAGGATTTTGTGATTTTTTTGAGTTTAATTAAGTTTCCTGCTGGGTATGCTGCCAACATTTTCAAGTGTGTTAAAGATGGTAAACTGATGGGACTTAAAACACATGACTACCATGTCCTCTTGCAACGACTTATTCCAGTGGGCATTCGTGGGTATTTGTGCAAAGAAGTCAATGAGGCAATTTTTGAGTTAAGTGAGTTTTTTCGAGATTTGTGTTCTAAAACCCTTAAGATGGATGACTTGGAAAGGTTGGAGAAAAATGCTCCATTAATATTATGTAAGTTGGAAAAAATCTTTCCCCCTGCCTTCTTTGACATTATGATCCATTTGATTGTTCACTTGCCAAAGGAAGCAAAACTTGGTGGGCCAGTACATCCTAGGTGGATGTTTCCATTTGAAAGGTACTTCTTCCTTATTTGTTTGTCTACAAATTTTGTTATTTTACTTAACATTCTGTTTTGGATAGAAAATTAACTCATGCTTTTGAAAAGGCATCTTGGATCCCTTAAAAAGTATGTCCGCAATCGTGCTCGTCCTAAAGGCTCGATTGCAGAAGGATATATTGCAAATGAGTGCCTAACATTCATGTCCAAATATCTCTATGGCATTGAAACAAAATTCACCCGCAAGGGACGCAACTATGACTATAATCAGGATAAGGCAGATGAGCTGGTGGTTTCCTCACTAAGTGTTCGCCCATTTGGACTTGTTACACCTCCTACTAAATTATCTCAAGTTGAACTAGATGTGGCTCATAAATTTATATTGAATAACTATGATGAAATAGAAGAGTACAGAATGTAAGTGCAATATGTATTTCAATTTTATATTTTCGATATTACTTCTTGTGGTTTATTTTACTTTATATTGATAATACAATCTGAATTTCAGTAAGCATAAAGAGATGCTGCAAAGGATTCATCCTAAAAATGTTGATAGCAGACATGAAGATCAATTCACAGAGTGGTTCAAAGATCATGTAAGTTATACATATTATAAAAATAAGTTTATTAGTTATAGAAAACTGACTAATAGAGACTCGTTTTCTATTTTATAGATAAATCAGTTGCACATTGATAAATCATTGGATGTTTCTGAAGAGCTGTGGGCATTAGCAAATGGTCCTATACCTTTCATGACAAAGCATTACTCTTGTAAACGAAGTTTGTTTCCACACAAGAGATCGGGATGATTGCCGTACAACACAGAATAGTGGCTTAGTTGTTGAGGGTGATCATAAAGGAAAACACATTGACTTTTATGGCTTTGTTAAGGCTGTGGTTGAGCTGACCTTTTTTCATGCATACAAGGTAGTCTTGCTTCAATGTGAATGGTATAACACATGTAGCACAAACACAATAAAGAGTGATAGGCACTTTGTGACCATCGATATTAGATCACGTTGGTATCAAAATGATCCATTTGTTTTACCAAATCAAGTCCAGCAAGTCTTCTATATTGGTGATACAAAGTTGGGGAGACATTGGCGAATTGTACAACGTGTTCAACATAGGCATTTGTGGAACCTACCAGATTTGGAAGAGAACGACGGAGATGTGCTCAATGGAGATACAAGTTTTTTAGATGAATTATTGCAGCAAAATGAAACAAGAACTGTTCTGCCTATTGTCGAAGATGCTGAATTAGGCCTCTTAAGCAGACAAGGTGTTGAAATTGAAGTTGTTCTGGAGAATCCTTTGCATACTTGCACAGGTGAAGAAGAGTATGGTGAAGAAGACAATGTTTTTAAAGAAGATGGCTTGCTTATTGAATCTTCTGATAGTGATGAAACCATAGACATGGATATAGATTTAGATAGTGCTTAAGAAATAGCATAGAAGTGTCAAGTGAAAAGGTTTTTGGCATTGTAAAGAAAGTGTTACTTTTTGAGGTTTTACCCAATATTGATCAAATTGATATCCTTTTCATGATTTTAACTCTTTGTTAAGTTTTTGGTATAACTTAAATTTTGATCTCTGTTTATAATTTGACATCAAAATTTTACTAATTTGACTCCTTTTTTATCATATACTGTGTTATTGTAGATGGCACCTTCCGGGAAACTGTTGAAGAGAAACTGCCCACCCAATACCAACTTGCAATCTGAACAACCGCCAACTTCAAACTCAACTTTGGAACATCAATCAGCTACCACAGGTGATGATATCCAGATTAATTCAAATAATAATAATCCTACTCAAGCATTGGCGAATGGTAAGTGAAAATGCTGAATAATGATTTATTTATTACCATTCAATGTATGCATCCTTTTTGTGATAATTAATAATAAGCATCAACTAGAATGTTTAACAATTGTTCTCAGAACAAAGAAAGCAAAAAAGAGGCAGGGGCCCAACCACGGGAAAAGTTATCGAGAAGATGATACGAGCTAATGTAAATGCCATTCAGTACTAAGATGTGTACATATATAATATTACTGTCTATTCAAGATTTTTTTTGTATAATCAATTTCCTAGAATTTCAATTGGGGTATACCTGAATGATGCTTCATTTGTTAATATTAGGGAGGCAAGCCATTGGAAATTGTCTTTCCTGAAGGATGTTGCAAACCAATCAAGTATGCTGCTCAACTTGCTAGTGGTGTAGGTTATGTTGTAAGGCACCTCTCTTCACTGAAGGACATACGCACATATGATGACATGCCAAATGAAAAAACATAACCTATATGGTGGCTTGATGGTACCAGATTACACCGTTGTCTTTTATAATGACATTCAGTATGTTAATATTTATTTTGCTGACTTGACCAATTCTAAAAATGATCTATTTCTTAATGGTAATTTATAGGAATGGTTTGACTTCAAAGATTGGGAAACTGATCCTAATGTGGAAGAGTATGTGGATGACATGCTTCAGAATAGCTACAGGCAGTGGAGGAATACTATGCACATAGATTATAAGATGTTGAAGGCAGCTGGAAAAGATCCACTTACCTCATGTCCTTATGACTGGATTGAGCAAGATGAGTGGAAAAGTATGTGTGATTGGTTCGAAGATCCTATATTCAAGGTGATTGGTTCTAGTTTTGTTTACTTGCATGATCTTAATTCTTTTGTTGCCTTTTATGTTTTGCCTAACTATCTTTTTGGTATTTAATAGAAAAAATCAGAAGCCAATACAAAGAACCGTGCCATGTTACCCTATCCGCACACTGGCAGTTCAAAATCAAATCATGTTCGAGCACAAGAGATGGTATATTACTGATTTTTTATTTCCATTTTGGCTTATATTTATACTAGGAAGAAAACTAGAGCTAACTCGAGATCTTTTATGCTATAAAATAGGTTCCACCAAGTGCAATTGATGCCTGGACTGCTGCTCACATAAAAAAGGATGGCCAATTTGTGAATAATACTGCAAAATCTCTCGATGTAATTTTCACTATAGTCGGCTGATTCCAGTAACTTTGTTTTTTATTAGTAACAGGACATTTACATATATATATTATACATTTAATGACTCCTTGAGTTATGTGAATCTAATATGTACAGGATGAGTTAAAAGAAGAGAGAAGGCAATGCATCGAGAGTGGAGAAACTGTCAATGAAGTAAAAATTATGGAAAATGTCCTAGGAAAGAGGGCTAGTCGTGCCAAAGGGTTGGGTATGGGGGTCATACCACCCCAATCTTCTCGCAAACCCGAATCTTCAGCTAATAGAGCACTACTTGAAGAACTAAAACAGTGCAAGGAGAAGATTCAATGCTATGAGGAGCGAATTCAAGCACAAGATACCCAAATCCAAAATCTTGTACAAAGCCAGCAAGGGATACAGGAAATGCTGCAAGAATTCCTCATTTGGAAACAGAAGCAGTGTGGAGGTTCTTCCTAGTAATGGTGAGTTTGTAGATCTTTATTCGAAAAAAATGTATTTATGTGCAATTACTTACTATTGTGGAACAACTTGGTTACTTCAGCATAGTAATTATTCTTGTATTGCTTGTACTCATGATTAGGTGGTCCTTAAGAAATTTGTAGTGATCATCCATGCATCATAACAAAATTACATCTTTTCCATGCCATTCTATTGTTTCTCTGATTTCAGATTTTTCTTGGTTTTATTGTACAGGTTTGGGATGAACTTTTGGGACTGCTTTTGGCTTTTGGCTTTTGGCTTTTGAGTTTGGGATAAACTCAACATTGTGGACTGCTTTTGGCTTTTGGACTGCTTTTAGCTCATACTGAAGAATTCCTCTATTTTGATATCATCCATCTCTAGTATTTTGTTGACCATGGAATTGAAGTCCATCTTTTGGTTTTAGCACATGTTAGGTACATGGTAGTTATCTAGGGAGAAATAGCAATATTTATATTGGTTTCAAATCATGGAATGTAATGATATGTCAATATTTGACATGGTTAACTTTTGTGATTTGACATATTATGGTTGCCTACTAATGAAATTTGCAAAGTTTTGGTTGATATTTTGCTTGCATACTTTTATATTTTGATTGGGTGGAGTGTCTAAATAGATGATATTATCACTTTGTTGTCACTAAAATTGCTAGGCTTAAAAAGGCTAAATGGTGAAATTAGAAACTAATATATTATAGTGATGCAGTTGTCGTCATGAAAAATGACATTGAATTGTCATTAAAGTACGTCCAGCAAGTTTCAACGCATGACTTTTCATGACAATCAAAAATTTAGTGACAAAGTTCAGGGTCTTTCCCTAACAAAGATTCATCAAGAATATGAGGTCTTTTCCCGATGACCGAATCATCACGATTACCTTTCTTGATGACACGTCACAGAAAATGGAACTTTTCCTGACGAGAATTCCACTAGTTGTCAGGAAAACCTTTTGCCGACGGCGTATAGGTGACCAATCTTCTCTGACGACATTAGCGTCACGAAAACTTTTCCCGACAACATACGCAACTTTTCTTGACAAAAATTGTTGTCACTAGAAATATTATTTTTTGTAGTGCATGCACTTGACACTCACCAAAAGTCAAGGGCAAAGCAAGAGCAAAAGCGAGAGATGAGACAAGCTCCTCGGCATCCACGTGACTACCTGAGACAGGTACAATCACGATTATCTAGGTATTCGACCAAGGCTAATAAGAAAATATTCTTTTGCTACCCACACTCAAAAGCCACACATTCAAGTCGAATTAAAAGAGATTTTCTCTCCTAATCATTGAAATAACACTCAATGAGAACTCAAAAGTCGTTTTCGAGTCAAGTCGTGGTAAGAAATCTTGATTCCAAAAGAAAATACCACACTTAATTTTTGGAACGAAAATCGAAAAAAGGAAAAATGGTTTTCATGTCTTAAAATTTCTAATCCTATACCAAAGTTTTAGAATATAAAGGAGCGTTCACGTTTTCTAAACTTATGGAGTCAAAATCCATCGAAACGCTACTTATTTTCATAGCAAATATTGAAGTTAAAAATTCCAAATTTCGAATGTAAAACTAGTGCAGTTGCTCAAGAATTACTCTAGCTAAATGCTCCAATTTATGGTTCATTTTTGTGGAAACCAAGGGCATAAGACTAGGGGATGAAATCCATTTCCCAAGTATGAAATAAGGTGCAAATACCCAAGAAAGTTAGATTTGATACCTAGAAAATGCTTACAAGTCGCTTTGAAGTTTTGTCACTTTACAAGGAAAAATTAAGTTTTACCAACCTTTTTGAAAAATTATAACTTGAGGTCCATAAGTCCAAAATTTTCAAATATTATACCGTTGGAAAATAGATTTAATTAGCTAAAACTCTCTAGAAAACACTTTTTCCAGATTCAAATAAAAAATCAGTCAAATCTTAGCTCCAAATCACTGCTTCAGTAAGAACAGGGCAAAACAGTCGTGAATTTCAGAGAATTTTGAAAATTTGGAAAATTTCATAGGAATCGAACCAGCCATTGAAATTTATACACCTGAAAGAACTTCAACTCTATTTCAAATGGATTAAACAGAACTCAATTTGGATTTTTCTACACCAAGATACAACTGTTTTATGAAAGCTGGTTTTTTAAACCTGGTTCACAAAATTCCAACTTTAGAACACCCGACATAGTTTATAAATCAAGTCATAACTAAGGTTACACCCATCCAAAATTAGCGTGGTTTATGGCGTTGAAAAATAGATTCTGAATGGTAAAAATCATTACAAGAAACTATTTTCAAATTCGTTTTGTAAGATGAGAGAAAATGTGCTACAAACTACAAATGTGCTTGTTTCTCGATTAAAACAGTGATGAAAAACAGCCAAATTTGTCAGTTCACTGCATCACTTGATTTTGACTCCTGTACAAATTTTTCTAGTTTCAAAATCCTTGGAGTTTAGTTTCATATACCACAAACACCATTTGATTTTGACTCCTGTACAAAACATTATGGGTTTTTGAGTAAGCACTGGTCGGCTATACTGATCAGAATTTTTCAGGTTTGTTTTCCCCCCTTTAACCTAACTTTAACTCATCCAAATGAAATGCTTTTTGGGAGATAATTTACACACACATAACCAAACATGTAACAAGCATTTTGGCATCAATATAACCACAAAATTTGGAATTAAAACAAGGGAAATGAACCAGCAAAAATCGGACAGCCTTGTACCCCTTTCTCTTCAAATTTTCTTTCCAAATCTTCATACCAAAACCAAACTATAAATCATTAAAACAACAACCAAACAAACAAGAAATCCTCAAGGCCACTGCCTAAGAATCTCCCTCAAGACATCTACCTAAATTCAAGGTTCATGGAACCCATCAACAACCCATACTTAACTAGTTACACACTGACTAAAAACTAACCATAAGATGGAAGAAAAATGAAAGTTTTGAGAGTTACCTTTCCTCCAAGAGTAGTAGGCAAAACCATAAGGAATCAAGCCCTAAACCACCAAGAATCTCTCCTCCTTCAAGTCCTCTACTAAGCTTGAGGATGATCCAAAAGAATGAACTAGGTTGGAGCAAGTTTTGGTGAGCAAAAAATGAAGAAGTTGGAGCTGAAATTTTTGGCTAAAGGGAGAAGGGAGTGGCTGGCCAAGAGGAAGGGAGAAGAGAGAGGTTTTTGAGTGATTTTTGGTGAAGTGATTTGAAGAAAGAAAGATGGGACATAAAGTTACTTTGGCGTAAAAAGTCAACAAATGAATAGTGCCCAATTAGTGCTCCTAATTGAATTTAATTCAACTCACTCACCTCTAATTTCTCAATTAGCTTTTTTTAGTCTAAAATTGATCATTCTTAATTCTCCAAGACTACTGCACTCTTAGACCAAAGATTACCTTGAAAAACGTGTATTTACTAATTTTCACTAATCAAGCGATCGAAAAATTAACTTTAAGAGAAAACGTGTTAAAAATATAAAATGAGGCAATGTACCATGCGAATATAATTAAAATGAATGAAATAAATTAATTGGAGCAAATGAATAGATAATTAAATAAATAAGCCAGTAAATAAAATAATAATAAATAATAAATAAATAAAATTCGGGTCCTCACAAAATGCATCAAGAATCGTCCACTTGGATATCTGTAGGTGGAGAAATGACCAAAAAAATCACTAACTAGTCAATCCCTTGTTCAGCTTTTGAAAGCAAAAAATGCATGACAGTTTTTCAACCTTTTGGCCAAGAAAATGTACGAATTGAATTTTGCTATCTCATAAGATCTATAGGTCTATGTATTATTTTCAAAATGGTTTAAGAATCATCTCAATCCAATACTTGTAACTCAAGATATAGTCAAAAAACCAAAAAGTGTTAAAACTATCAAACTTTTTTTCTTTTGTACTTGGTTGCATCTCATCCTATGAACATTTTACACTTCATGTTCACTTTAAATCACTTCTAATAATCAATAATTATTCAAATATATTCTCAATTCACTCCATTTGATGATTGAGCCATTAAACCTACAAAAACATGATTTTTTTATCACTTTAAACCATAGAAATGCAATTTTTCACAATTGGACCACAAAATGAAAATTTCACTAGAAACCTAGATTTTTTTTTTTACCGACAAAACCCCGTACACGAGGGAGGGACACCATCCCTGATTTTATTTTAAAAATCTGTTAAAGAAATAGCGTCTGATACATAAGAAAAGCATTAAATAACGAGTACTACTCCCTTACATGGATGCATCTAATCCCTGCATAAATTGAAATATCTAGTGAAGCCAGTGTTTGAATATGTTTTGGCAGCTGAGACACAGAATCAAAGAGATATTGCCTTGTATTTGGGAGACTTGCCAAAGCATCTATAAGGGCTCATGTTTTATTCTTAAAATAATTATTTGCCTTAGTATTGGTTAATTATATTATCGTTACATGAATCGTTTTCAAATTTCGCCTTATCGCGCGCGAATCGAAAGTTCGGGTACTTCACGTAAAACAGTTAAATGGAGATTTAAGGAACTTATACTAGACTACTAAAAGTGAATAATTATAGTGTTAAAGGAATTACATTTGGAGGTTTAGTGCACAAGTCTAACAAACAAGAGAGAAAATGGTGGCACGATACTGCACTCGACACTATTCCTAGTTGACTTTTGTAAGATTTTTGGCCACAAA